TATTAAATGAATATGTAAAGGAAATTATTATATGACATCACAGAAGTTTTTCTATCATCAAATTAATATTGAGCCACACATGAGTCACATAAGCTTATAAGATCAACATGGATCTTAGAACCTTTATTCATTCTTGGAAGATTGGATTGCTTTGCTCTGGACCATTTGAGGGAGTCAAAGAAGAATAAATCAAACTTGATTATTATGCTTGTTGTGGGCTTTATGAGAAGATTATAGATGATTTTTTACTCATGAGAGAAAGTCTAGGGAGAGAGAGAGTGGAGGGGATCAAGGAAAGAGTATGTTCGAGAGAGATGGGGATGCATTGGGAGGGGACTTGAAGGTGCAATTGGAGGGGATGTTAAACAGTGAAGGTTTGCATGAGAAGATTTTTGTTCAATCATTTATCAATCAAGGTATTACATCATATCCTTTAATATCGCTAGTGATTGTCAACAAAAAGACTAAAGCAATGCATGCGAACCAAGAAAAGACTTACAAGTCCATCGACATGAAATGTAAATGCATCATGAAACTACTTTACTTTGATGAATGGTTTCTATTCTATAATCAAGCGGGATGCATTGCAGACAAGTTTATTTGTGATTATATTTTGGACTATGTTGCACCGATACGGATATGGCGACACGGATACGACACGATACGATACGGGACACGTCAATTCTTAAAAATACAGGATACGGGTCGGCGTGGACACGACATTATAATTTATAAATCATACATAAAAATTTAAAAAACGATCAAAGCATAATATTTGAAATTACAAAAAAAAAAAGACAACAACATCATTTGTAGCCTTGTAGCTTATAATATCAAAATATAAGTAAGCATTAAATGTCTAGTACAACAACAAAAGCATAAACATAAATTATCTAGCACATGAAGTTTCAACTATTCAATAGAAGGAATGATATAATTATCTTCTTTATTGGTTTGTCTTTGAACTTCTATATCATCTTCAATAAATATCATAGCTTTTAATTCAGGCTCATCTAGTGAAAGATTAGTAAATTTTAATATTTTTATATTATTAAGAGACTCAAATCCATCTCGGAAATGAGAGAATCTTGCTCGCAACTGCAGAAGTAAATACGACACGTTTTTTTTTTTCAGATGTCTTTTTGTTTTTCAGCGAACACGTGTATCGGATACGCGTGTACTTTTGAAATTAAATAGTATTTTAATTGCTTACGACTTTGGCGTATCCGACACGTATCAGTGCAGTATCGGAGGCGTATCGGTGTATCGGTGTATCGAATACAGCACGCCTTCATAAATAGGTGTATTGGTGCAACATAGATTTTGGATCAAGAAGGCTTATAGGTTTTGGTTTGGCATATCTGATAAAATAAAACCTATCAAGTGTAAAATCTATCATTTTCTTACTAAAAAAGTTCATATGTGATGAGGTAATACCCACTTAACTCTCAGCCTAGCATATTTCTATGACGAGGGTAGAGTCCACTAATGGTTGATTTACTCTTCCTCATGGGTCACACAAATGGCAGCAAGATGCATCACTTAACTCAACATCCCAGGTGTACAAGCCTTTTTAAAGTTAGGATATCCTATTACAATTAATATGATGTTTGATATTATTTCATGCGAAGAAAAGTGAGGATTCACCGACTACAAGCCATGAATTAGATCAACAACTTACTTTCTTTAATCTTAAAAGGTTATACTAGAATTAAAATCTAAATGATATTGAAATGATTGTCTGATAAATTTAGTGATGAATTAAAAACAAATAAAATGAATAAGAAATAAGATTTAATTCCACAAATTAGCTTTCTGTTATTAAATTTTTTATCAAAATCAAATTACTAAATAAGTCAATATCAAATTATTGATATGAAATAAAAAAAGGAACAAACAAATTGAAATAAAAAAGGCCTCACGCTGATAAAGGAGTTGACTTCCTTGGAATGAGGTAGTCATACTTATACTATGCTTAAAAGAATCATTCTTCGAACTTTCAATCATAAGATTGAAACTAAAAAGTGAAATTTTATTTTAGCAGAAGTTTTGTATTACATAACTTAGCACAACCATTGTTTAAAATTGCACAATATGAGGCTCGCCTCAGTATAATTCTTGTGAAAATGCCTCGAGGCTTACGCCTCAAACTTTTTTATGAGGCCCGCCTTGAGGCACGCCTCGCCTCGCTAGCGCGAGGCTTACAACTCATCCTATTTGTATATATTTTTTTGTTAAAACTAAATATAAATCACACCTTTATGCACTTGCAAGTGCAACAACTTCCTCCAGCTCACGACCTTCACCGTAGCCAATACTGTCGTAGCAATCACCGACAATCACTTGAAAGCTGCACACTACCTCCCTAAAAATTTTGGAGCATTAATCTCATGTTTATGTTGATGAAAATATTTTTAAAAGATGAATATGATTGAAATAAATTAAAAAGAAGCATATTTTGAGGCATTTGACTCTACCGAATGAGGCAAGGGATAGACCAAATTGTTATGGTGACAACTCAGATAAAGACCACCTCAGTGATGACAATGCACATAATTCATAAGTTATTGCCAACTATTTCAACTTTCATTAGGAATTAAATGTAAATGAGTAGAGAATATAGAAGGAAGAAATTTGGAGTTAAACTTGATGTTATATGATACTTTATGTAATTTATATATTTAGTATTATTTTCTCTTATAATATTTGAATTTTAATTCTATTTCACGCAATTTATCATTTTATATCTTGTACAATTTTTAGTTTCATATGTATGTTCATTTATTAATTCATAATTCAATAAGAAATTAATATGTCATCATTTAACATATTATTTAGGTATTATATAAAAAATCACTTTTGACATTGATTGTCACTTTATGCATTTTTTTTTTGAGGCTTACGCCTCAACTCGCCTCATGAACAAAAAATGTCTCAATACCCAATTTCACAATTTTAAACATTGAGAACAACTATATATAGACTCATCATCCCTTAGAAATGGGTATAATTGGCATAAGAGTAGCTCAATTCAAATTTAAATTAATCCCAAAAGGGTAAGAATTATATATTTCATAAACTTATTAATCTCGAAGTTCGAGTCATGCCTACCGCCAAAAAAAAACCCCCAAATTCTACATCATCGTTAACAGAGCTCGCTAGTTGCCGAATAAAATTACAAAATACTGCAGAATAACATGCAACTCTAATGCAACATCACACTTGCCATTTGCAATTTTTCTTAACTTTTAAACAAATAAAACTAGAACTTGTAAGTCTGAGACTCCACTGCCCAAACAATAGAACAAGTTCAGAAGCCACAGCCTAAGCATTAGTTTCCCGTAAATCGGCTGACTCAAAAAAATACAAACCCAACAAATTGAACTTTTGTTTAACCTACAGGAAGCCATCCATTATGGTAATTAACCCAAGTTGAACTAAAGTTGAAATCATTCTATAAACTATATGAACCAAAAGTTCCGAAAAAAAATATAGCCCTCTATTTGACATCATCACTAACATGTTCTTAATTATAGAAAAAATAAAATAAACCAACTAATAAAAATAAGCAAATAAATTGTAGAAAAATCATTGGTATATGCGACATCTTCGACGGGAGAAAACACAAAGATTTCAATCACTATATATTTTATATGTGGTCTTCTTTGCATGCCAGTCTGTTGCCTTTTTCATTGGGCAATGATTAATCTACCCTGTCTGGCACAACATGGTTAGTATGACATTTCATTCTTGTGATTAATTAGTGAGTTAAAGGCCAAGCTAGAACATTGCTAGATGATTTTGAAGAAATTTTCTAAATCTAAAGAAAGGTTGGAATCGTGGGATGTAATTTTGGCAGAAATGGATGATCAATCACCTGATCGCGACTTCAGATCTTGTGATAGATTAATACATTATGATTTATTGATTTTAGGTCGCATTACATGGAAAAGATGCCACTTTGCCTGGGTTAGTAGTTTTAACCCGTGCAAATACGTGAGGAATTTGGAGCAGTTTCTGTTAGCTCTGTTTGCATGCTTGTAACTCTTGTGAGAGGAAATGAAAGAGTTGAAAACCTCAAATCAATGGCACAAGATTCATAATTAATCCACACATTTTTTGTGTTTCATTCATTTCCTCCATTTTAGACAAAGGAAGTTCTGTGAACTTGCTCTAGTTTTGAAGCATACTAGATTTTCAGCTGTGTGGGCTCATTTGTTTGCTTGAAGAAAACACATTTTGAAACAACAACAACAACAACATCAAGCTTTTGTCCCACTACATGGGGTCGGCTACATGAATCCTTTTTCGCCATTGTGTCGTATTAAAAGTCAAATTCTCATTTATATCTAATAAAGAAATATCATTTCTAATATTTTATAACCAAATCTTTTTAGGTCTTCCTCTGCCTTTCTTAACATAAGTCAAATCTAAAACCTAAACTTTCCTAACCGGGTCAGAAGAAAATACATTTTGAAAAAAAGAAAAAAAAAGTTTTAAATCGATCATTTGATTAGGTGTATTTATAAATCACCATTCGATTTAACTTCTCTCTTTTTCAAACACAAAAACGTTGAAGTCAGTCATTGTTTTGTGCATGTTTTTTTTATATTCAAGCAACCAAATGATCCCTGATTTGAATCCAAGCTGTATTTTTTACATCATGACATCATTTATTAATCAGTACTGTATAAAGATTGTCTTAAACAAACATTTTATTGATTGCAACTTGCAAGGAAGTTCTCATCAGACCATTTTATTTGATATCTTATGCACTTAGTAGATATAACACGACTTTTATCTGGAAGATTTTAAAAGCCCTTTGCTTCTCAGGTATTTATAATGAGAAGGAAGACAATGTTCCATTCCTCAATGAAGAATTAGGGTATAACAATTTTAGGAGTAAATAATAAAGTTTGATCTACTAAAGTAGCATTTAGTAAACCTTACTTCAATTCAACAAACCATAATTGTTCATTTAAACTCTTTCAATTGTGCAGGTGCATCAAGGATCAATCCTTCTACCGTCTCATTGGGGTGGTGGAGCATTCAGGGAGCATGAGTGGAGGCCACTATGTAGCTTATGTGAGGGGCAATGGAAGAGGAAGCAGAACCTCAACTGGCACTGGCAGTGCAGGGAAAGCCTGGTTTTATGCCAGTGATGCTTGTGTGAGGGAGGTTTCCTTGGCTGAAGTGCTTCAGTCTGAGGCATACATTCTGTTTTATGAGAAAATGTGATCTGAACTCAAGTTCAGTTCAGCTTTTTCAATGACAAATTTCTCCTGATAATGGCAGAAAAGGATGGGAGATGTGCAGATTGATGGAAATAACCTTAAACTGGTTAGCCATTTTTTGAAATTATTACGAGCAGGGGTTTTGTTCCAACCGTTGGGGAGTTGGGTGAAGCCTGTAAAGGGCCAATTTTTATTTTTATTTTTTTTTGTTTCTTGTAATTTTTGTAACACTTGCCTGAGGAGAAAAGAGTTCATCATTTTGAAATGGGCATAAGATTTTGAGTGTTTTTTTTTTTGGATGAAAATCAATCGAGAGTTTATTGACATGCCAAGAGAAATTATTACGTGATCATTCGAAGGCAAATTAGAATGTTTCATTTCATCCGGTATACAACATCGATAAACAACACAATGTTGATGGGGCATGTCCTGATTCGTCTCCAGACGATATCCGATGATTGAACGGAATAATTTCTCCCTCACGAGAGTTTTAAACACCCCTCTGATGCAAAATAATATTTTTTACATGGTAACACATCCTAATAATATATTTTCAGTACATTTATTCATGTAATATGTTATGTATAGAAGCGAATGTATAAATTGGTGGCAACATTTTATATTTTCATGCATAGAAGGAGAAAAAATGTTGAATATATGCTGATCTAAAGAGGAACAACAAGTCATTCAGGTCATGATATTTAGTTTTCAGTTTCTGTTCGTTGATCAACTAAAGCCTGCGGCATTGCATTCACAGACAGATGAATAGAAGAAAAGTTTTTATAAAGATTGTCGGGTCAGAATGATTATCTGCAGGTCTTTAAAAGCCAAATAATTTTCTTATTTTTTATGTCATAATTATAATTGATATCGTTATATTTATTTTTACGTTACTTTAAAAAAAATTATCTTCTACGGCAGTTTATAAAAATTATTTTTTTCACTCTAATTTTACAAAATGAAGCCTAAAATTTCATTTGGGATGATTTCTTATTGTTTTGTAAAATAATTTTTTAGTATAATAAATTTTTATAAAGAAATTATTTTAAGAAACGTTAAAAAAAATGTCCCAAATAAAATTTAAGTGTAAAGAGCACTACTGCTATATTGTAGGGAGATAGAATCAGTGCAAATTTTTGGAATGATTTTTAATTTTTTATAGATAAATGTTTTTAACTAAAAAAATTGATCCAAATAGCCAAATATTCTTATTTCATATATGTTTTTTTAATAAAATGTAAGCATTATATTGGATGTGTTGTCAACAAATCATTTTGAGTGATTTTTACAAAAATAGCAATGCTCTTCCCATCATAATCTGCTATTATGTTGATTAGATTTTCATGTGATTCATGAATCAATACCAAATAGAATAAATTTTCTCTAGAAATAAATAAAAAAAAAATCATAAAATAAAAATAATATCACAATTCATCATAAATTATATATCTCCGCGCAATAGAAAAATATTAAAATATTGGGAGATTTACATATATATCACTTTATTTCATGCTATTTACATATCTAATACATAAACTCTAATATTATAGGTCTATCACCCATAGAACAAATATGAATGCATTGAATGAAATATTAAAATTTATAATGTGATATGGGCTGTAAGAATAAAATATATGAGTGATATATTTGATATTAAAATTTCATATAAATGATATGAATGTGACATTAAAATTTTGAGCGTTAAATATGTAAATAACAAAAAATAAAATGGTATGTATGTAAATATTATCATACACCATCATCATTCATCAAACAATTAAACACATAATTCTCCATCATCTCCATGACCACCACCATTGTGATTGTGATGAGCATCAACAATAAGAACAAACAGGAAGAATTTACAAGACATCCAAAATCTCCATGATGAAGCTGCTGCAATGAGGGCAATTCTCATGGCTAGCCCGAAGCTCTCTCTGGTGAAGGTGACAAATGGTGTGCCCACAAGGCATCATCGTCTCACTCTCACCACCACCATTCCTCTCCCCCTTGTTGCAATCATCGTCATCATCTTCATCTGCTAGCAACGCCATCAACGATATCTTCACCGGCTTCTCCTTTGCCGGCGGTGATCGTTTCTGTATCATTCTCGCCGGCATGTTCCAAGACAACGGGGAGTCAGGGCGGCGGGAATGGTCGATGCCGTCTTTAGCCGTTGTGGCAGTCCGAGTCTTCACAGAGCGGAGACGCAGGTTATCTTTGAAAGGCCTCCAGGTGACCTCTTCTCCCTTTTCGCACTCTTCGTCCATGATCTCCTTGATGGTCTTCACATGGCTGGGCTGATTGTCCTTCTCCATTTGCTTTGCGTTAAGCTTTGAGAAGGAATTCAACGAGCATGAAGATTACGAAGGAGATTGCGGTAGACAAATGGTTTTCTCATTGTTTTTTTTCAATAAAGGGGAAATTTTTATAAATTTGGATGAGGGAGCCGTTGGAATTGGACGGTTGGAGTTTTGCGGGAAACTCGGCTTGGTTGTGGAAGGTCTCTTGGTTAAAGAAAGGTAAAGGTTATTGCAGGCTTAACTACAAACAATCAATAGACAATAATGGAGGAAATAGCAAAGATACTTTGACTGAATTTGAATTGGTGGATGAGCTTGAATAACGAAACAAGCGATGGATAAGGGTTTTCAGCATTTATTATGATAATGTTACTGTGCAATTATCCATTATAGGCATGCAATTGATTATTTGCCACAAAGATTGCTATAGTTGTTTTAAAATCTTTTTAAATTTTGGTTGAATCAATTCTATCCAGCAAAAATTAACTGTACATATCAAATATAGAGATAATTGCTATGGAATTATCATGATGAATGGAGATGATTCATATCCTTTCAATGGGGCATATTTATTGTGTGTTAGAATATTTTTATTCATGGAGAGAGTTATTTAATGTTTTAATTTTGTATGAAGATCTAACACATACAAAGATAAATGAGGGTCGCGAGATATCAAGATTTTTTTAGAAAAAAACTAAAAAAGGGAGAAAACATGGGGCTGAATCAATTGAAATTATTTAAATAATATTTTTCATATATATGTTATAACTACTGTTTTTCCTTTTGATTGACAAAGATGTTGATACAATATAATATACATAATAATATTTCGTGGCCTAAGTTGGAAGTGCTTTGAGGAATTAGACTATTAGAGTGATCTTTAAGAGATCATTATTGTTTGTTTGTTCTTTTTTTAGAAGGAAATTTAGAGACCGCGAAGTTCAATATAAATCTTAAAGTATGCATCAAAAGTAGGGGTGTTAAAATCAGGTTAATTTTGGGTCGATTTGGTTCCAACACTAAACTAATCCGGCTTCAATTGACTAAAGTTTACTTTACTTTAGTCAGAGAATAAGCATCGAATGCAAGCTGTGAGAGATACCTTAAACAACTCGTCAATTGCATTGAACCTTTCCTGGGACTCCTCCCATGAGATCTTCTCATTTATGAATGGTTCGTCCGGGTACAACCAGATCAAGATGGCATCAGAAGATGAGAAGAATACTTCATTTCGCACTCCAATTGGAATTCACTGTTACAATGTATCAACCTTTATAGGGGCTCGACTAACTAGCTCGAACAACTACTCAACAAAGAATGAGAGCTTTGGTTTCCTCTCATCGAAATAGGAGCAGGAAAAAGAGAGATTTTAGTCATTTGTGGATCACTCGGATAAATGCGGTAACTCGTGAGGATAGGCTATTCTATAGTTATAGCCTATTAATCCTCAATCTGTACAAGAGACAATTGCTTCTGAATCGTAAAAGACTTGTGCAAATAACCCTATCAAATAAGAATTGTTTTGATATTATTTCAAAGAACAAGAAAAAAATCTTTCTTCCCTCCTTTTTTAGAATACAAGAATCAAATCTGAATTATAGTGTTTTTTTATGTGGATTTTTATAGATAAATTAGAATTCATATATTCTACTTGTATGGATCATGGACATCCTTGATCTAGATATGATTTGGAAGTTTTTGATTTTGATATTTTTTGTGTGGTTGTTTTATTGACTAGAGACAAGAAGTAGAACTAGAATAACAAATAAGAAATACAACTAGGATTGAGTGGATCTCCAAAATTTTGACTGGGATAACTTCAAATAAATTTAGGATTATTGAGTTATAAAATGTGCAATAACGATCTAGAGATTTTGGTGGCGTTTTTAATAGTTAGGCTAGTCAAATGATTTTAAGAATGGAGCTGGTCCAACAATTCTAGAAAATATGATCAATCCTAACTATGTGTAATTTTACATGGATTAATAGGAATGGAATGAGATTTAGGATTTTTTAAGTAGTAATACTAAGAGAAGACAAATAAAGAATTTTTTAGTTAAGGAATGTGAAGGAAATTTATATATATATAAAAAAAAAACTACTCACCAAAGTAGAGGATTAAATATATCACCCAATCTCTTTGAGTATGGCAAGCCACCAATCCTCCAAGCCACCTGAAAATTTTCTCCAAAACATGTAAGTGCAATAATAATAATTCATTTCAGTCCCAATAGAGTACTTATACAACTGAATTCTAATGAATAGACACACCTCTTCATTAAAACTTAATGAGAGGAAAATCTTAGACAGAGAGGGGGACTAACCCCCTCATGCTCTAACCTTTGGTCTCATATGGAAACTACTTAAACCAACTCCATGCACACTCATACATTAACATGGTCGACCCTTGCTACCGTGAGCAAAACTTAGACATATTTCAAAGGATGCTAACAAAAGCAAAATATAATAAGATGAAGTCCACATATCACTTACAACATAAAAATATGAAATTTCATAAACACATAAGTCCAAACTCATAAAATATTAAAAGATGTAGATTTTCATGGTTAGTCTTCATGGATTCTTCATGGTTTGAGCTCATATGCTTTTTCTCTTGCCCTAGTGATTGTAACACCTTCATGTGTTACATCATAGACATTGGGCAATGGTTATTGGAGGATCAAAGTTGGGTGATGATAGTCGGAAAAATATAATCAAACAATAATGATCGAAGGACTATCATCAAGAGACAATGGTTGGAGCTAGGACCGTAATTAGACAATGGTGTTTAAAGGATTATAGTCCAGCGATGGTGTTCAAAGTATTGTAATCAGGTGATGGTGGGGACATTAGTTCAAGGATTGTAGTTGGCTGATAGTGGTTGCATGAATGTAATTAGGAGATAGTGATCAAATGATTGTAGTAAGGTAATAATGATTGGACGGGCTGTAGTTAGACAAGGTGGTTGGGTTGTAGTTATTAGAGGGCTATAATTGAGCAACAGTGGTTGGAAGACTTTAGTCGAGCAATAGTGGTTAGAAGACCATAGTCAGAAGATGATGGTCCGATGTAGGCTCCAAAAATTTGCGCCCCGGACTCTCCGCGGACCCCTTTCTTTCTTTTCGAGTCATCAAAAAGTTTTAATGAGTATGTTCCGAGGCAAATTTTTAGAAGGCAGATTGAGTTTGAAATAAGACATTACCCAGAGATTTTGTCCACATTTTACAAGGATTTTATGACATGAGTTCTGATTTCCTATAAGTACAAGCCCCTACAGTTAATTACCCCTCCTAATAATGAGAGAGAACTTTAGATTAAGGCCAATCGTCAAATAAATATATGGTATCTTGCATATAGTAGCAGCAGGTTTTAGGTATTAATAATTTGATATTTAAAATTAAAATTTTTATCATTTTGCACTTAAAAGCATATGGTGGGGGGAATGATGATGAGCCCGATCAAGATTTCATGGTTTTATCATCCTGGGGTATCATAGTACTTGGTTTACTTAGTCAGATGAGGTAAATGACCCAACCTGATAAAAAGATCCTTATTTTTTATCAGGAGGAGTAATTAACCATATGTAACAAAAAAAAAGACTTGATGTACCCCCCAACCCCCACCCTTGATAAAAATAATATTTATAATTTAAAAATAAATAATAAATAATAAAAATAATAACATATATAGCCACATTGGAGCACTCAACACTTCACTAGTGGAGAGTGGTTAGTAGCAGCTAGGCCAACCTAAAACTGTCCAGGCTATTTTTAAGACCCATGCACACCATTTTGAATTTTTTATTTTTTTTATTTTTTTATTACCATTCAAGAATACTTTTATTGTGTTGAACTCACTTTTAATTTGGGTGCCATTAGAGCTTCTAAGATAATTTTGAGCCATTTTATACAAATCAAAGCAAAAATTTTTTAGCAATTTTCATTCTAAAAGGTATGCCAAATCTATTAAAAAAAGAAATTATCACTATAATGTCTCACTAAAAAATCTATACTCCACATTTGAGAGGACGTGGATGAAAATAATCGTTGGACTTTGAAAATTCCATAACTTCGATACAATTTGGAACTCAGATTGACCATCTTTAGGATTCACAAGCAAAAATGACTAAAATGCCTCATTTAAAAATCTATAAAAACGCATGTACTCTTAGATATATGGGGAGTAAGGGTGTAAACGAGTCGAGTTGAGTTTTAGTACTATCGAATTCAGCTCGTTAGTCGGAAAGTGAGCTCAAACTCGAGCTCATCCCACTATAAATGAGCTCAAGCCGGCTCACGAGCCAGCTTGATTTCTCATTCGTCCAATTTTTTTATTTTTCCCGCCCAGTTCTCATTTTCTCGTCTGTGGACGTCGCATCCGTCTAAATGAAAAGTTCACATTTTCCACCATTTCAATCCCATCTTTCAAAATTAAGATAGTTTGCATTAATGAAAAACTATCTTCACTTGAAACGAGGCAATGAAAATAAACTATATGACTTAACAAGAAAAGCAACCGTAAGCCCGCTGCCATCTTTTTTACATTAATGAAAATGTGTGGGCAGGAATTTAAGATACGTGGGCTAAAATTTAATATACATGCATGAAATTATTATTAATTTTAAAAAAAAAATACCCTAAATATAACTATTTTAAGCCACCCCGCGAGCTCGCGAGCCGAACCTTGTCAAGCACGAACTCTAGCTCGTAGTTCGATAAGTTTTGCTCGCGAGCTCATTAACGAGTCAAGCTCGAGCCCACACACAAGTCGGCTCGGCTCAGTTACACTCCTAATGGGGAGCACTGTGGGTGGAGACTTGAAAATTTCCAGACCTCTAACAACTTTTTAGAACTCTGATCGTTTGTCTTTGGGATTTGCCTGCCAGGCTTTTATGCATTTCCTGCTCGCCCAATCTTCCCTTAGACTAATGAAGATGCCTATTGCTAACTAGTTCCAAAGTCCTAACACCTAGCTTTGACCGTCGGCATCCATATCAATCATTCAATCAGCAAACATTTGCAGCAGAAAAAAGAGTTTAGACTGTACAAAATCTCCAAATGCAGATCCTGCTTCTGAAGGTAATCAAAGTGCCGTTGAAGATAAAATAGTAATAACAATAATAATAAATAAATAAATAAACAAACAGTGCCGGGTCAGTTCCGGATTTGACCCGAACCCGACCCGCTGACCCAAATTGACACCACTATTGAAGATAACCTCTCAAGTTTTAGGCCCTTAATACTTCAAACTGAAGCAAAAGAAGAGCGTAGCAGTTCAAATTTCTAAGCCCTATGAAATGGCAAATTATTACGTGCGGTGTTCAGACCGTTCGGAAGCGAATCCGGATGCGCCACATCACCTAGATGCACCGGGGTCGGGGTGACGTGGCTTGTTCGGATTCGCCTCCGCACGAATCCAAACACCGCACGTAATAATTTGCCCTCTGAAACAACTATTCGAAGTCTGAATACAACTTTGTTTAGAACTTGCTTAAAACTGGTTGAAAAGCAAACTTATAATCTTAAATAGAGAGCCAATACCTTATCCTTTTGAATTCATTACAAAGAAAATAGCTGAACAAGAATAATATTTGTGTTTCTTCTTTGTTATCCTAAACCATTGCAGTACATATTAAACTGGCACTACAGTGATAGCATTCCAAAGTAAGGGTTTGTGAGGGCTGAGTTCAATGCCAATCCAGCTGAGTTTAGAATTGTCATTTCTACCTTGCTCCGTGGCATATACAAGAACTCGTTACCTTCCAGTTTATGGAATCCACAGAGCTCAAGAAACTCAAGGCCTTCTTTGAATTTCGCCACTCGATCCTGTTCGAATCATTTGAAAAGGGAAAACGGTATAGAATTCCACTATTAAATACAGCACTCAACTAAAAAAACAAAATCTGTGATGAGACTTGTTCATCAATGGACTTAAGATAACCTGAAATAACGGGTTGCTAAGTCTGATCTTCCTATATTTCTCATTGTCTGGATTTCTTACCACGTTCGCCACATATGTAAGGAGTGTTTGGAATGCTTTCTTCACTTTAGCATCATCATCCTGAAATATTTTGATAAATGAATAAAGGGAGATTTACATACATACCATCATATATTCATATACTATTCTATTTATATATTTAACACCTAAAATTTTAATATTACATGCATACCACCCATAGTTCATTTTCATATCAAATATGAGTTGTAGAAATGAAATATATGAGTGGTAGGAAGGAAATAGGAGTGGTATATTTGATATTAAAATAATATATGATGGCCTGTATGTAATAATAAAATTTTAGGTGTTAGATATGTAAATAGAATGGTATAAAGTGATATCTATGTAAATTACAAGATGCATTATTGTTGTTCTGGGATATGTGATGTTATCAAAATCATTAAAAAAATCAGTTGATATTTTATTTGCCTTTTGAACCTTCTAAAACAATGCAAGCAGGAATTATTAAAAGATAATTAAGCCCCTACTTGACAATCGGAATATAATAATACAACAGAAAGTTGCTTAGAGAAAATTGAAATGGAAAAGTTTTACCTTGTGGTTCTTCTTGAGAGATCTTAGACAATCTTTCAGGGTTTCCTCCATGGAAGGAATGACGGATTTTGGACCCTGGGAAAAAAAAAATTAAGTGCGCAATTACAAACAACTTATTGTACAGTTCACTTCATGCCGTGCAAGTAGGGGGTTTAAAATATAAAGAACAAATTACCTTAATTGCGTTCCCTTCTCGTATGGGAAGTGGTGTGGGTTTTCCAGTTCTAGGATTTTCAGGTGGCAATCCAAGCTTCCTCCTCCTTTCTGCCTGCAATTAAATTGGTAGTAGAAGATGCAATTAGGCACCTAAAACTGGCATTGATCTAAGAAATACTATTGGTTAGTTCAGCTCAACTTTATGGAGTCTATTTATGCTTATTTCATATTTAAACAAAGTCGTTAAAGCTTATAATAGTAATTATGGCTTCGTTTGGGACAGTTTTTTTTATGCTTCTTAAAATAGTTTTTTAGTACAAAAATTAATTTTTTTAACAAGAAAATTGCTTCAAGAAGCAGCGAGAAAGTCGTTCCAAATGAAGCCTATGTCTAAGCCATGTGATGTTTTAGATGGATGAAATCAGGAGGAACCTTGTCCAGTTCCAGTTGCTGGCGAATCTTCTGTCTGGCCCTCATTTCCTCCTCCTTTTCTGCTTTTCGGAAGGCAATTATTCTGCATAAATCAATTTCATTATCATTAATACAGCCATGAAAATTTTTCTCGGAACAGGAACCGCAACTTGAGGTGAATCAGAAAGAATTGTGCAGAAGACAATGAAAATAACAGGAAGGTGATTAACCGCTGTCTTTCGTTCTCCTTTTCACTGCGTTTATCTTCCATCAGCCGTTTACCCCTTCTTATTCTCTCCTAGAGAGTGAGAGTGAGAGGTAAAAATATTAAAAATATGATACTCATCGTCTTGTCCAAATAAATGTCTAACTAAACATGGGTAACATCAAATAAGCTTTAAAAAATAACTATATGCAAAACAAATTGTATTACAGTAAGCATATGGCTCAAGCCCATTAACCTCATGCATGTAGATGTCAATATATAATTTTTTATAAAACACAATATAATAACGAGAAAATGGTGCGAGTATAACAGAGGCAATTAATTAGAATTGCCAGGATAGAAAGAAAAATATAAGAGAGCAAATACTGTTGACCTCTGCATAAGGTCCAATAAAAAACAAGAAGTAAAAAAAAATAGAAGAATATCCATACCTGCACTTTGCCAAAACCCATACCAAAGTCTTGCTACAGTCACATCCCCACCGCAAACCGGCTCACATTCGGGTTTCTCGGGATGACCCGAATCCGACCCGAAATTTCATACTGGTTGCAAAACATAACCTGAACCGGACAAATTTCGGGTCCGGGTTGACCCTAACACGAAATTTTCGGGTCGGATTCAAGTTGAGTTTTCGGGTCGTGTTAAATATTGACAGACCTACTTTAAACTTTAGAAAATTATTAATAATTATATATAAATCAAAATAATATGAAATTTAAATCATCAACTCCTCTGATCTCAAAGATCATAAGAATTTTTTTTCAAACCCTAAATATCTTTCTTGAATTCTTAACAAATCATTAGAAGTATAGGATATTAGAACTTGGAAAAATAATATAAAATGCATTTCAAGTCCAAATGCTTGAGATTTTCAGCGATATTCTTGAGGCTATTACAAACCTCGGGATTTAATTCAATGCAATGTTAGTCATTTGCTTGAAAATTTTGTTAAACTCTAATTATGGGCTAGTTTAGGATACACAGGATAGAAGAAATTTCTTCAACAAAAAATATAAAATATAAAATAACTTGCAACAAGAACTTAATATAATCAAGAAGAAAAGAAAATTAATATCAAATTATTTTAACAATTGCAATTAAGGTTCCTAATTTCTAAAAATAATACAATTAAAAATCAATAAATCACTAAAAATTCAAAACACCTCCAAATGGGTTGAACTTATCAAGGAATTATTCTTAGGACAACAATGATCTATGATTTAAATTTCAGGAAGATTGGAATCCATTTGAGGGTTGAACATAAAAACTAATTTGAACCCAAAGAAAAGCCTAATTTAAACATTTAAATTTTTGAAAAATCATAATTAATTGTTGAAAATTATAAACATATAAATTAAAGTGCATTGAACTCATAAGGATTGTAAAAATAGAGAAAAATGAGTTTGTCAATATTTAAGATCAGAAACTTCGATTTACTTAAAATGAAATACTAAGACAATATAAAAATCAATAAATCATAATAAATCATGAAAATTTTCAAATAGCCTAAAATTCTTCGTAACTTCTCTGAGTTATCCCTCACTCATGTAAAAACATTTCTGAAAATTTAAGTCCATTTGGTCACTCTAATCACAAACTCTAATTCTTAGTGTCATCAGGGTTTTAAGAGATCTAGAATTTGAAAATGATATTAAAAATCAAAATAAAGTCATAAATTTTTTTTTTTTTTAAATCTTGATGATCACCGGAAATAATGAAAATTAAAATTTAAAGAAATTAATTTTAAAAAATATATTTTAATAATTTTCTTAATAAAATACACGAATAAATTAAATAAATCATAATAAATAAAAACACTTGAAATATTATGAGATGATCATGGGATTCAGAACTTGCTTCTATGCGAAAATAAAAAAGTGAATTCAAATTATTATGGGAAGTTTATAAGGTGATCCCCCATCCCAAGAAATTTTCTCATAATTTTAGAGTTTATTTTAATAATAATTTGAATTTACATCATCAAATAATTCAAAAATAATATAAATTCAAAATATTTTCAATTTTTTATGGGATATTGCTGAGAATGTTCTCTACTTTAGAGATTTTTTTTCAAAAGTTTTTTAATCATTTAAAGTTAAAATAAAATTTAATAAACTTTGGGTTTAATAAAACAATAAATAAAGAAATAACCTTAAAAAATTAGAAAATTCATTACGATTGCAAAAAACATAGAAAAACACAAAACAAATTTTTATTAACTTAAAAAATTACAAAGAATAGTAAACTGAATAATCTAAACAGACATCAAAATTAAAATAAAATTTTCTTTAACAAACTCCTAAATAAAAGCATTAAATAACAAAACCATAAAAAGCCACTTTGTTATCTTTCAAGATATTTGTAAAGTATCACCTCACTTCTTGGGTGAGTTGTACGAGAGATTATTACGTGCAGAGTCCGGATGCGTCCGGAGGTCAATCCGGATGTACCACATCATCCAATGCACTATGTATTAGAGACGTGGAGGGTCCGGATTGACCTTCGGACGAGTCCGGACACCGCACATAATAATTTTTCGAGTTGTACACCTTGCTATGTCTAGGATGTTTTGAATAGCAAGATTCATCTCAAGATGAATGCTGTGCATTTGGTGCATGTTTTAAAATCTAAAATAAAAATGAAATCACAAGCTTCTAAATTCAAATAAAAGTAGTAAAATACTTACATAAAATTGAAATATTCCATCCCTGGATAAATTATAAACAAATCAAAATTGAAAATAAACTTATGCAAAGGCTAAGAATTAGGGTTTGTGGCATTCGTACCTTCAGAACGCATACAAAGGCTAAGATAAATATACTTAATTCTTTCTTACCTTCTCTTGTTCTCTTTCCATCCTTCTTTCATCATCTTCTCTCTTTTTCCGTACTTGCTCCCTTAATGCAAAAATACAATCTTTTAAAAAGTAGGAGATTGTTTCATTATAGTCTTCATATGAAATAGAAATTACATTAAATTTTCCAAACAGGAAATGCATAAAATATATCCATCAAGAAGTTAGAATCAGCATTACTCTTCATTTCTGAAGAAAGATACTGGGTTCTGCATGCTTTATTTCGCGCAAGGATCACCTTTTACAGGAACACGATCTACTAAAAAAAATTAGCTTTGAAGCAGACATGGAAACGACCTTCTTGAGTAAATTGATCAAACTATCATGGAATTCATGTTCATGAAATATTACATAAATCCAAAGGAAACTTATGAACTTATTACAATTTTGTTGGAAACCAAAAACTATTGTCATGTTTAAGGCGTAGGTCCCAATGAGACGGTTTCTCACGCAGTGGAAGGGACTCCGTAAAATATGACTTATTTCTAACTAGAAGACTTCAAATTAAGATTGCGTGGTTCACAGACTGATTTTATAATTCTGTTCAATGATTCGTATTCCCAAATCAATCATGTAGCTATATGCAGTTGAAGCACGAGGTATGTGGTAATCTTTAAAATAATAAGACAGAACCTCAGAGGAAATTTATTAAGGCAATGTTGGTTTGAAGGAATTGAAAGATGGGAAATGGAAAGGAAATGTAACTGGAAGTAGTAAACGAATTGAACTGAAGTTTGTTTTCACTCACTAATTTGGTTTAGAAGAAATTGAGCAAAAACAATTTCTTTCTTGTTTTTTAATAAGAAATTAAGTTGATCTTTTTAGTTTTTCTGGGCAAGGAGAAGACATGTGAGTCACATTGATGCAAGGTAAATTTTTCTTCTCATTTCTCACTAGGTTTTGATGGGGCTTGTTAATCCAAAAAAGGTAAATTCAATTACCTATTAATTGCATTGGAAGTTTGGAACCAAACGCCCAATATAAAACTGTGAAGTAAAATAAATTGTCTTACCTCCAATTCCTTCAACCAAACATACTCAAAAGGGTGATCCAATTGCATTCCAATCACCTCCCTCATCTCATATATTATTCGCACATTATTTTGAACAACTTCTATCCCTATAACATTAGCTTTATTCATTTACCTTTGTTAGACCGGTCCAACCGGTCTGACGGGACCGATTCACGCATAAGAAGGCGGAACCATCCACCTCCTGTACACGATATCAAACGTCGAATGCACGCCCGAATCTGCAGGAGGGATTTAGGAAAGTTTTTTTAGGGAATTAAGAGAGAAATTTGAATGTAGGGACGGTTTAGAGATTTTCTTTTGATTTCTATGCATTAAATACTTTGTTTTCCTAGGGTTAGGGCATCTTGAATTTGGCTAAAATTTGAGATATCTTAAATTTAGATTTTCCTTTTGGGCTCTAGCAGCGTCTAGAGATTTGGGATGGATCGATCCTCCTCTCGAATAGAGGATCAATTGTATCTTGTTATTTTCCGTTTCCCTTATATCAAATAATACAAATTATCTACTGTTTTTGTGGTTTTGTGTGGATTTTGGTAGAGAAAGCTCGCTGTTTTCCGAAGATTGATACGAAATACTTGAGATAAACAAGTACTCCATGTCAAATTGGTATCGCACGTCGATCCAAGGGGAATCAATGGCGGGAAGGAAAGTGGAAGTTTTGGATGGAGAACTTGGGCAACTCAAAGCAGATTTTGAGGAAAAGATGGATGATTTTCAAAGTCAGATTGCATCCATCAATGAAAAAATGGAGGAAAAGTTTGTCGTGGTGGAAGACATGTTGAAGAACTTGCTTGAAGCCAAAACCAAACTGGTGACATCGAAAACAAAGGAAACTACCGGCTGCCATGGAAGAGATGGGAACCCTAAAATGTCTAGGGGAAGGGAAATGCCAGAAGTGGAGATCCTGGAGGGAGAAGACAGAATGCCTCCTCTAGAACCACTTTCTAAGGAGGAGATGAGCATTGGCTACGCAAGAAGGGGTGCTGAATTTGTAAGGAGGGGGGATGATTTCGATCGTCGGGGTGCTGATTTTGAAAGAAGAAAAGGGGATTTTGATGAATGGTTTGGATATGATCGCCGGAGGGAAGATCGTGACAATTGGAGAGCACCTCCGCTTCAAGGAATGGGAGGTTATGGAGGATTTAGGGGAAATGGGTGTGACCCGAGGGTGAGCAAACTGAAGATGTCAATCTTTGAGAGGATGCGCACAAGTGGATCTACAAGGTAGAAAGATATTTCATCGTCAATGGGCTGACAGAGGAGGAGAGACTGACAGCAGCGGACTTATGTTTAGAAGGGAAAGGCTTTGTCTTGGTATCAGTGGAGGGACATGCAATGACCCATACAGATTTAGAGAGAGTTCAAGGGTTCTTTGGTGGAACATTTACGAACTGGCAGGGGAGGAGACTTCTACGAGCAGTTCTTTGCTTTGACACACGAGGATTGAGTGACGAAGTACCAGGATAGATTCGAGTACCTTGCCAGCTGATTGAGCCGCCTTTTTGAGACAGTGCTAGAGGGGAACTTCATGAAGGGATTGACACCAAAGATCCGAGCAGTGATTATAGTAATGAGGCCTCGTGACTTGGGAGAGGCTATGGAGATAGCTCAATTGGTAGAAGATCAGAGGCTCCTGAAGGGAGAGACGAGAGGCGGCAGCTCCAGAGGCTCGTACAGGATGACCACCACCTTATTGAAATCCAAGGAGCTAACACCGGATACTCTTTGGGGGACTTCGAAGGAAAATACTGCAGGAGGAAGACCTGGGCACAACTTTAAGAAGTTCATAGAGACAGAATTACAGGTGAAGAGGGCGAAGGGGCTCTATTTCAGATATGATGAGAGGTATACGTCGGGGCACAGGTGCAGGGACCGAACTCTTCAGGTTCTTATTGTTCGTGATGAAGAGGGAATGGAGGAGGGTGTCGTCTTTCTACCTTGCAGACAAGATGGATCTTTTGGAGGGGAGTATTGTTATTGGACCGGTCCAACCGGTCTGACGAGACCGGTTCACGCGTAAGAAGGCGGAACCATCCGCCTCCTGTACGTGATATCTGACGCCAAACGCACGCCCGTATCCGTTGGAGCCATTTAGGAAAGTTTTTTGGGAGAATTATGAGGGAATTTGAATGTATGGATTATTTAGGGATCTCCTTTTGATTGTATGCACTAAATACTTTATTTTCCTAGGGTTAGGGCATCTTGAATTTGGCTGAAATTTGAGATCTCTTAGATTTAGGTTTTCCTTTGGGCTCTAGCGGCGTCTAGAGATTTGGGAGAGATCGATCCTCCTCTTGAATAGAGGATCAATTGTATCTTGTTATTTTCCGCCAATGCCTAGCAATTAAGTTCCCAAGCTACATTGAAGGTACATAGATAGCAGCAGTTCAGATCGACAGCAAACAAACCTTGACAGAAAAGATTGAAAATCCAATTACATAACCTTTCTGGGTATTATTATTACTCATCTCGACAAGAGAGTTCTATTTTAGCAAAAGCTTTTTTTGGTACAAATTTGACAATGTATGGCTTTATGGGATACATTGACCGCTCAAAATTTTATTCTGAAATGATCGAAAAACTGGTGAATTTTAGGCCTCTGACGTACAAGTGCAACTCAAATGCAACAGAAAAATTAAGATTGTGTGGTTCACAGACTGATTTTCTTAATGCTGTTCAATGATTCGTATTCCCAAAGCAATCATGTAGTTATATGCATTTGAAGCACGAGGTATGTGATAATCTTTAAAATAATAAGACAGAACCTCAAAGGAAGTTCACTAAGGCAATGTTGGTTTGAAGGAATTGAAAGATAGGAAATGAAAAGGACATGTAACCGGAAATGGTAAACAAATTGAACCGAAATTAGTTTTCACTCACTAATTTGGTTCAGAAGAAATAAAGCAAAAAAAAATCTTTTCTTGTTTTTTTATAAGAAATTAAGTTGATCTTTTTTTTTTCTCGGCGAGGAGAAATGTGAGTCACATTGATGCACGGTAAATTTTTCTTCTCATTTCTCACTAGGTTTTGATGGGGGTTTGTTAATCCAAAAATGCATACTCCTAGGTAAATTCAATTACCTATTAATTGCATTGGAACCAAACACCCAATATAAAACAGTGAAGTAAAATAAATTGTCTTACCTCCAATTCCTTCAACCAAACATACCCAAAAGGGTGATCCAATTGCATTCCAATCACCTCCCTCATCTCGTATATTATTCTCATATTATTTTGAACAACTTCTATCCCTATAACATTAGGTCTATTCATTTACCTTTCTAATCCTCTCACACTAATTTGATCAACTCATCAATATTTTTTTATCCTTTGTTGTACATGCCCAAACCACTTAACTTCATTTTTCATCTTTTAATATATATCACTTAAATCTTTTTTGTAATATAATTATTCCTTAAATTTATCCTTCCTATTTTTATCATACATCAAGCTTAACATTCTCATTCTCCATCAAAATCAACTTTAATATTGATGATTTTTTATAGCTCAGCCTTTGAATCCATATAACATCATTAGCCTATTTAAAGTTTTATAAAACTTATCTTCAAGCCTCAATAATATCCTCTTATCACCAAAACATCTTAGGAGCTTATCCATACATACATACATAAATAAATAATGCACGCATACATACATGCATGCATACAGATGCATACATACATACATTCATACATACATGATGCACACATACCACATAAATACATACATATATGCATACATACATTCATACATACAGATGAATACATGCATACATGCATGCATACATACATACATACATAATGCATGCGTGCATACATACATACATACATAATACGTGCATGCAAATATACATACATACATAATACATGCATGCATGCATACGTACATACATGCATACATACATACAGACATTCATACATATACATGCATACATACATACATATGCATTCATATATGTATGCATACATCATGCATACATGTTTGTATATATGTATGCATGTGTGCATGTAT